CTATGGAAGCATCTGGCTTTACAAAGGTCACAAATTCAGAACTTCAGAAATAGTTTGACTGAAATGATAAACGGTTTTTTTGCAAGTTCTATTTCTAGGTCAAATCAGACTTGCAACAAAATGGTTGTCATTCAATTGACTGATTTATTGATATCGAGATAATATTGTGGGGGAGGTGAGCCATCATTAGCCTGAATGACTGTTAGCTTTTCAAAAAGAATACAATAGTTTGATCAAGTGCTGTGAAAAGCCATTAGGTGACAACTTTACCTTCCCCATGCACATGCCTATATGTTAAACTTTTTCATTGGTTCAGACAAATGGAAAGAAAAATAGCCATTAACAATAGGAATTTAGACTCATCTCCCAACAAAAGAAAGTTTGCTTTAAAGGTCATATGAAACAAAATTTTTTAATGACCAATTTACACAATTTGATGGCGCTGATTGAGAAAATCTTGGTTAAATTTTCGAAAGATACCCGTGAGACACCAAAATTTCAACTTTAAAACTCAGAATTGGAGACTAAACGTGATAACAGGGTCTGCAGCGAGAGGACAGGAAGTGAGGTAATAGGTTTGACATGCCCTGGGCCTTCAACCTTGGAAGCCGTAGTAAACATATTGAAAACAAGCAACTGCTGATATGTTGTCCGACAGGTAGCCATATAGTAATATTGATTTGGATCAGCCTTCGAAGAAATTAAATGAGCGTAAGGAAGCATTGGCTGAATTTGGTGGGACTTTTAGCTTTACTAGCACAGAACACCGGCATCCTCCAAAGAAGAATCATCAATCCCCGTCGAACTGCGAGGGAGAGGACTATCCTGAGAGTGAAGATTGCATCTGACCAACACAGCTTGGAATTTGGTTTGAGTGACTTGCCTTGAATCAACGGTAAGTTAAATTCTTTATTTTTCTGTTCCTTTATCTTTACAATTTATAGTATTTCAAGGCAGAAACTCACTGGCACGAGCCTGGCCTACTGGCCTAAAGCAAACGGTAGAGGTAGACTAGCCTGATTAACAGACCTTATTGTAGGCTTTCACTCACAGTGCTTTCACTAGATTAGCGAACTCTATTTCAGTGAATTGGTAAAGAAAAGGGAAAGGCCGAATCGAGATTATATTTTTCTATCACAGGTGCTCGTGTGCAAAGTGCTTGACATAATCACTTATCAGCCCAGGGAGTAGTGCTGCTGCCGAGAAAGAAACGTGATGTAGGACAAGCTCACATCTGATGGTTCAAAAAACAGACATGAATAACTGTGTAACAGAATACAGCCCCTTCAAGGCTCTTGTTCACAAAGATGTTCTCCTCCTTGCTGGCTCATATTTTAAGGACAAGACTCAAAGGCAGTACTAGCTGCTCTCACTTACCTGTGCAATTAAAACAACACTTGCTGTTGAACTAGGAGCCGGACCCAGGGGCAGCCCAATGCTTGGAATCCAACCTAAACTACATTTAACATGGACTTGAAATCCAAATAATTTTCTTTATGTACTTGAGATTTGTATTCCTAAAGCATTTTTAAATTTTCTCAATGAATTACCATGTCACAACTACAATTCAATTATCCTAACACAATAATTTTGCTGCACAATGCAAATAGTTTTCTAGAACAATATTGTTTCCCTGCTTTGCAATTGTCATCGCCTTTTTTCCCGAGCTCTATACTGAACTCATTTGCAACTGGTTTATAGAAAACCTGTTGAAACCTTGAATCAAGTACACCTGTTTAAAAAAAGCATAACTGATTTTGGAAAAAAAATTCCCCAGAGGCTGAGATCAAGTGCCCCGGTCTAAAAATAGCTCAAGGGGTACTTAAAAAAAGGGCAGCATCTTATACTATTCACCTTATCAAACCATGTACTTGTACCTTGAATCGACTACACCTGTCTAAAAAAAATCAAGGGGTAGTTTTTGAGTTTGGGACTACATCCTATAATTTTCACTGTATCAAACCATGTACTTTCCCCATGTTTCATGCTTTTAGCGTGTATTGCGGCTGATTTATTGAAAAGCCTCTTCAAAGCCCTTATAAAGTACCCCAGTCTAAATATAGCTCGAGGTATCATTTTCCAGCTGGAGCCTGCATCTTATCCTTTTCGGAGCATCACAGTTGAGTATGTGCTTTCACCAATTTTTCATGTTTATATCTTGTTTTGCAACTGATTTATGGAAAAACCCTTTCAAAGTCCTTGAAGCAAGTACCCCTCTCTACAAATAGCTCAAGGGGCATTTTTCAGTTATTTCCTGCATCCTAACTTTTTCAGCGTATCAAAATATGTACTTTCACAAAGTTTCATGCTTTTATCGTGTTTTAAGACTGATTTATAGAAAGACTCCCTCAAAGGCTTGGAATCGAGTACCCCTGTCTAAAAATAGCACAAGGAGACATTTTCCAGATTAGTTCAGCATACTATTTTTTTCAGCGTATCAAACTTTGTATTTTGACAAAGTTTCATGATTTTATCTTGTTTTGCAAGGCTTTTCTATTAACATCATTTACAAGGGTTCCAATTGTTATGGAAGGAGCGTGTCAAACTTATAACGTTACAGCACCGATTTGACTGCGTTCGAATGGCATCACTTTTGAACGTCCCTTTTTCTTGCTTTCGGGCGCCATATCTAGATTAGTTCAAGTCGTAGAAAGAAACAGAAAATGGCATCTTTACAAGCAAAAAAAGTTCTACAAAATATGTGAAATCGTTTTTCGCTTCATATGACCTTTAAGTTGATGTCTAGTGGTTTCTACATGCATAAGTGAGGCACTTTTTAAAAACAACCAGAATTTTCCAAAGGGAAAGATTCAAGCTAGAGAGAGGTTCAAGAACCTATAGCAAAACCCTAGCAAGGGCACAATGTCAGTTTGGCCTCATCAATATTGACAGAATTGATCATCAATCATGGTTGCTTGGCTAGTTCTTCCACAAGCACACTGGAAAACAGAGCTCCAAAGTGATAATGCCACAAATCTCTACTTTAAGAAATTTTAAATTTGTACCAAATAACCTGAAAGAGCCTTATCAAATACTCTGAGTATGCCATAATAGAAAATGAGTTACAAATTGGCTGTTATCCGCTTATTAAATCAAGGTTATTTGGTCTTGATTCTAAAACCAAGAACCAGGCCAAAAGTTTTGAAAACAACAGCATTCCGATAGAAAATTTATTTCAGTTAATTTACCAAAAATTTAAGTTGATATTGCACTTGCTAGGGTATTCGATGATTTTCTTTCAGGTCAAAAAGCAATGGCGGACACTTCGATACGTATAACTTATTTATTTTGCGCATCTTGCGAATCATAGCCTTCGTCTGAATCAATCAACTCGGTCATTTAATGGTGTATCAACTGAGCACAAAGACATTTTTGACAAAATTCACAAACCTGTTTCTTTCTCTATTATTCCTTTAACTAGATACCCAATAAACACACCAAAGCCAGTCATGAATCCAAGAACACCCATTATCATAAAGCCATGAAAGGTTGTTGGCTTAATTTTGGCGTCATCATCATACCGAACTGCTACGTGCATTGCTAAGGTCAAGCCTGCAAGAAGGCCTGAAAAACCACCCCAGGCAGCGACATGAAAATTCTTGTAAGCTGTCATGAAACATATCAATATGGAGAGACCAATTAGAAACCCTAATGCTGATGAAATGGTTGGTACCCAGAATCTCCATCCTGTTTTTCTGTAGGCCATTTTGTTTATGAGGAATATGCGCAGGCGCGATTTTTATTGAATTCCCAGAATTCTCTTGAACAGAAACCAGTGGAGCCGACAAAGAATATCAACAATACATACAGAAAAATATATCATGGGCTCCGACGTAGGTTGGAAAGTGGGGGGGGGGGGGCAGCCAAGGAGATTTTAACAATCATAACAAAATAATTTTAAAAAAATTTATTACTTTGCAAAAAAGTGGGGGGGGGGGGCATGGCCGGAGGCCCTGGATATAAGTAGACTGTAGACTAAAAGGTTACGCTCCTTTTTTATAAGAACAATTTTATAAGAACACGAGACTCAAAACTGGTCAAAAGTTAAGAACAAATTAAGAACAAGCTGAGGCTGAGCTTCCGCAAAATGCAATTTTGAACAACCTTTTTCTCAAAATTGAGGATTTTTAGCGATGTGTGGGTTCAAATTTGTCAGCAAATTAAGGCTTTCTCACTCACTTTGTTGGCAAATGAGGCCTGAACACCTCCTTAGAGCGAAAAAGCTAGCAATAGCACTGCTTACACCCTCTTAATTTAAGAACAAATTAAGAACAATCCAGCCTCATATTTTCGAAAAAATTAAGAACAGTCAGCCTGAAATTAAATTTACTGGTTCTTATAAAAAAAGAGTGTATAAGTCATGTTACAGAGTACAAATACCAACAGAGGAACAAATTAATTGCAAGCAAGGGTTTACTAAGGAGGAGCCCCCTCAATAGGTAAACTGGGCTCCCGTGGTCCGTGGACTTCATAATTTTATGGTGTACAACAAAGAAAAATAATAACAAAGAAAATAATATAAAACAAAGAGAAAAAATAAGTTGGCATAAATGTGCATGGGTTCGTTGCCTTGCCTGTGTTTGAACCAGCGAATGACTTATAAACAACCATTGGCGACGAGATTGATAATTTACTGGCCAATATCCGGCGTGAGATCTAAATGGATTTCACCCTGGATAGTCTTACTTTCATTATTGTTTAACAACGAACTAATTAATGAACTGGTTTAGCTCAAAACAGAAAACTTTACACAACTAAGAAAAATTTAATTTCATGCTTATCTCTCCTCTCTCGAAGGAAGTTTCACATAAAATTAACTGAGCAATAAATAATGAGTCGATTATAGAAATTAAATTTCATGCTTTACAACAATAAGCAAATAAATAATATCATAAAAAATCATTTGCCAAAGCCTGGTTTTTCTCTCCAGGCGGTTGGGATAAAAAAACCACATTTTTGAATTAGATTGTGCCGCCTCGATGTTGAAACTGATTCCGAGGCTATTCGAGAAGATATACTTCGGCCTAATATGTTGAAAGCTTCCACACGGTCACTTTTAACACGTGCGTCTTTTTATTCAGAATTGAAAAAAATATTCGAACTATGAAGCTTCTTACCCACAACATGCTTACTTCTAACATCAAGGGAGTAAAGAATGGCTTTCCGCTTGGTATAGAGGTGAGTGCTCGCTCGTTTTGCTTTGTAATGTTTAACATAACATTTGAAGTGAAAAATTTTATCAATCAACTTTAAATTCACTTGATAAACTTCATCATTAAAAACAGAATTCAAAATATTTTGAAAATAAGATATGCAAAGTTTATATCTGGCTTGAATTTCATTAAAATCACTGGCTTCCTAAAACCTCTGTTGTCTCCCTAATATTTCCAAAAATAGAAGACCGCTTCTCTTTCTCTAGAGAGCTCTCGTAGAGCTAGACTCTACCACCCAATGAGCCACAACCTCCAGAATTAACCAAGCCAAACCAAGGAAACTAAATACAGCTTTGATATCCTGTTTACTCCTAAAAGCTACTATATTGTCACTGCACAACAGGCCTTTCTTTCTAGAGGTTAATTAACTTGTATGCTAAGGTGCATTTCATGTAAAACCGCGCATTGAAATCAGTCATGAATTTACTCCAATCACATCACATTGTCTGTGCCAAAGTAGATGAAATTCTATGCTATTGGGTATAATTTCAATTTATGCTGCTGTGCATAGACAAGATTCATAGCTTATTGCAGATCTTTGGCTTAATTAAGTACATGGCATGCACACTGGATCATTAGGTCTGGAAAGCTGAAATTACTCAAATGAATCTTTTTCTGGGGCCATAAAAATTTCAAAATTTGCAGAGAACTATGGGTGCTGTGCACCATCAATTTGGTAAAGTTTTATCAATATTTTTATAAGGCATGGCCACTTTGTGTAGATGAGTGAATATATTATTGTTATGGCTACATGAAAGCCAATTTATTTTGTTGACCCAACGAATTGTCATTTTGGCTTTGCCTACCTAAGAATCTTCAGGGATAAGCAAAATTTTATAGCCTTATGAGCAGTTGAGGTCCACACTATTGTTCCAAGGTTACTATTGTGGGATTAAAAGGTTGCTCTTAGGTGCACAAAATAGATACTTTTAATACTGGCTTTTACATAGATGTTGTTTCTGAAACCTTATTTCAAATTAATTTCATTAGGCAACAAATATAGAAGTTAAAGATGTTGATTTCAATCCAGAGTTTGTTTCAAGAATGATACCAAGACTTGAATGGAAAGCTCTAGTTGAGACAGCTCAAAAAGTAAGTACATTGTTCAAAGGTAGGAATGATGTCACTTATGAGGCTGTACAACCTAGGTTGTTGTAAATTTCTTCTGATAATTCATTATAAACTACTTTAATCTTCTGCAGAATACCAACACATTTACTGCATGTCCATTAGGCTAGATTACAAAGATACCTGATTGAAAAGGATTTTAATTACTTGTAATAATTCAATAATTAATCAAGAACACATTTCTAGATCCCCCTGAGCTTTCTCTCCTGTGCTTTCTAAGGGCATGTTTACATTAGCAAATTTGTCCCACCTCTCAGCCCATTATCTGGCAAGTGGGATGAATTTGTCAAATGTTTACATGCAGATTCTATCCCACCTTCAAGCTGTATATGGAGAAAATCATCCCACCTGCCAGCAAGTGGGACAAAATTTAAGAAAATCATCCCACCTGTGTGCTGACAAGTTGGACAAAATTTAATCACGTTCATATGAACATTTTGTCCAATCTTCCAGCTTCATCCCACCTTCCAGCGTTTATATGGAAAAAAATCATCCCACCTCAGAGAGATCCCACCTCTCATGCAGTGCGATCTCACTTAACCGGGCTGGCTTGTTTCCATATAAACACAAAACAGAAAAATCAAAGGATTCTATAAAGGGTCGGATAACGCCTTTCAGCTCACAGGCTGGAAGGTGGGATGATTTTCTCCATATAAACAGGCCCTAAGAACTAAGGCTAGTTTCATTTGGACCTTAGTAATATTAATGGAATGAATTTTTGCAGTTCTAACATTGTTTTTAAATGAATCTTAATTTCTGTGGCTTACAGTCCTAAAGAACCATGAATTATCCAGGAAACTCATATAAAATCATGTAAAAAGAAGTAATTTTTGTTCCTACAGTTATCCTTTTTATTCCTATAGCTTGGTCATGGTGAAGATCTGCCAACAGAAAATATAACTGATGATCAAAAAAGTGATGAGGAATTCCTGCGGAAAGTTCACCATATTCTTTTAGAAGTGGGTATTCTGCCAATGATTATTAATTTCTTGGATCTTTATTCTTCGAAATCATCCAAAATTAGTTCATAGCTATTGTTTCGACCATATAATTAGGGTTTAATCGGTAATCAAAAAGCAAAAAGAAACTTAATTTTGATACTGCATTACTTTGCCAAATCAGGTCTCCTCTCAAAAACTTGGCCCTGCAATGAATGTTTTGAAATAAATATTATGCAGGCCTTGCCCTGAAAGCATTTGATCGAGCATTTGCCTTAAGACACCTAAAAATAGCCATGAAAACAATTTAATGAGCACCTTGAAATGTTAAACGAAATTGCCCAGCAGCGAAATATTGTTTGAGATTAATGTTGATAAAACTTTAACAATCTTTCCAAATCAACTGAAATATTTTGGTTTATAAGATTGATACAAGAGTTTATACCACTAATTTTTTTATGACTAGATTTTGCATTCAGTTCCTTTTAAGGCCATGTCTATAAGAATACATTTTTTTAATGAAAACGTTATTTTCCATGCATAGAAAATACATAGAATGCATAGAAATGTATAGAAACAATTTGAGAGTTAATCATTTAACAACGTAATGATATTTGGAAATGAATCATTTTTATTTGGACGCAAAGTTTTTAATACCTTTTCATTAAGAAAAAACTCAGATTTTTGCAAATGGAAATTTTTTGAAATGGAGCACCTTGAGTTTCTTAGGAGCTTGTTTTATGAAGCACCTTCATTTTGCTTAGCGCAAGGTCTGATTATTTTCATTTTCTTATACCCAAATTAGAACATCAATTTATTAGCAACCACATAATTTTCCTAATATTTTTATAAACACAATTGTAGAAAAGTTTCAGACTCAATTACAATGACATTCAACTTTATATTGTTTGCCTTTATTATTAAAATGTCATCATCTACAGCATCCTAAAATTGATTTTTGAAGTTTATCAGAAATAATTTACATTAAACTAATCTTATTTACTATGAACATATCTTTGCAGCAAGTTATGTGTATTGTATCTCACAAAATAGAAACAAGGTTGTTGTATTTAAATATGTTTTCAACATTTATTCAATGTTTTACTAATCAGTTAAAAGATTGATGATTATGAAATTCTTAATTTTAAACCCAGGTTGAGATAATGGAAGGAAACCTTATATGTCCAGAAACTGGGAGGAAGTTTCCAGTTAGCAAAGGCATACCAAACATGCTGTTAAATGAAGATGAAGTGTAGATATATTTACCTTGACATTCGTTTTGGAATTTTATTAGCTAAATGTGAAAGTTGTCTTCTGTACATTAAAAAGAATAAGACAGTTTTACATTGCTTGCCCAGTTGTGGTATAAAGAAATAAAGTAATGTTTTGGAGGTTGGTCAGTACAAATTTTATTAATGTACCTAGGAATTATTTAAAAATGCTGTTGATAAGATCTTTGAGTGAAAGATAGAGTATTTAGCGTTGAATGACCTTTAAGGATAATTGTTTCTGCTAATAAGTATTGCCACTACGAAATTATCTTAAAGTTGATACAAAAGAAGCTTCAATTTTAGCTTTAAACAATAAGATTTTTAACTAGATAAGAAGGTTTGCTAAAGACAGTGTTTTCTGCATATTTTTCATTCATTTATTTGAAGTGGCATAGGAGAAGAACATATTTTGTTGTTTATTATTTTAAATAGATCATTGTATGTGGTTTTGAATTGGAAAATGTGCAAGCTCAACATTAAACAAGACTTTTCTTTGTATTGGTCATTACCTATAAATTTATTACTAAATCTGGTTCATTTTGGTTTGTTTTACTAGTTTTCTCAAGTTGTTATCTTAAGTTCTCACAGCCTCAAAAAATAGTACCCTAGCTTTCCAGAGTTTATACCATGCTAAGATTTGATTGTAACCTAAATTGCAATACATTTTTCTTTTGAGAATTTTATAAAATGCAAAATCGATGATGAAGTAGAGTATTATAAACAAATTATTATACACAATACAATTTATATTGCAACATTTAACATGTAAATTAAAGTGATATAACTTCAAACAATGAACTCCTAATTTTATATGATAGCTTTAATTTTGGCAAAAACTTAGTAAAGAGCTTTTGAGTTGCCCCTTTTTCTTTGGTGGAGATTATTGCAAGATAATTTGAATTTACTGATACTGACATAATAGATAGAAAAATTGAAAGTCAAAGTCAACAGTAGTAGAGTGAATTAAAATGTGTTAGGTGAAAGAATCTAATTTCTATTATTCAATATTTTTGTGTGAAACCTGCAACAGTATCTGGAATCTGGATTGCAGACTTAATTAACAATCAAATTGTGGAGAGTGAACTTCTTGTCAGACACTTTTGTCTGAATTACCTTAAGCAATAAACTGGTGTATTGAGAGCTTTATATTCAACTCTTCTCTGCCTTTCCTGTGCACAGATACCTGAAAGACCCTCTAATGACATGGAAATAATTTTTAAAAGAGATTCATACTGGATTTAACCAGATTTGTTCTACTCACTAATTTTAATCAACCCAGAGACCACCTGTGCAGTTATTTTCTAAGCATGGATCTGATTACTTGATTATCCTTCTTTACTTTTGCATCAGCCTTTTCCAGAGCAAAGCCCAATTTGTCAAGCTGCTCATCTTGAACATCTTGTTCACACTTGATATCTAGAGCCATTTCCTTTATACTTTTGATAACACCACTGAGTTCATTTGCTTCTGATTCACTTAGAACTTTCTGCTGTTTCTGTTTTTGGTTCTGACCTTGTTTGGCTGTTTCAGAAGTTCCACTATATTTTCCCTTCATTGAATCGTCTACAGAAATTAAATAGGAATGCAATTGAATCAATCATACAAAACATTTGATAAAAGAAACAGCTGCTGTACTGCATTTCATCATTATTTTTCAGGTTTCATTACAACATAAGGTAAGCTGTAAAATGTGTATGTAGATTCATAGATACAAAAATAAGATGAAGAATGCAATTATTTTACTTTGTGTAGAGTATTTGACAATTTTTGTGCTCTTTTAGAAACCTGGTACACAAAATACCAGAGTTGAGAACCTATTCAAGATCTTACAGGCTAAAAATATCTATCTATTTTAGACTACATTAACAAGTACCCTATTTCCTTTAATTTTTGAAACTTTTCTTACTTGAATGATTGAGAAAAGTGGACATAAATTACATCTCATGCAACCCAAAAACATTTCTTCTTTAGGAACCTAAACCTAACATTATTGCAAGATACGCATTGAATAAGATCCTGCCTGGGGATAATAGAAAAAATTGGTTCTTATATCACTGGTTTCTACTGTAATAAACACCTTCTTTTTAGATCTCTATTTACTGATCCCAACCATTCTAATCCAGTCTTGATACTGAAAGAAAACTAATGTCGATCTGAGCTGGTCACAGGTGTGCAAAATCTTACCTATCTCTGGGAATTTTTGGTCAGCAATGCAATTGTAGGAAATAGGTTTGCAAAATAAATTCTATGGCGTCAGGAATCAATATAGCCTGGTCAGGGATGCCAGAGAAGGGGGAAATAGGGTCAACTGTCCCCATTTCCCTTTTGATAGGACGGGGTAGGAGGGGCCAGAGTGCCCTTTCATTTACGTGCCCTTAAAACTGGTCAATTGCAATAACCAGAGAGATTCTTTTGAAATTCTGATTGTACTGCTTAAATTCGTGACATCTTCTCTCAAAAGTTATAAAATAAATCCTTATTCCAAAGAATAGCCAATTTTCAAGATACCCACAGAAAATTTAAATAAAACAGCACTTGGTAGAAGGAATAAGTAGAAGGTGGGATTTAACTTTCAAATGTCTTTTTACTAAAGCCTGCCTCCTTGCCCCTTGATGGTTTTGGCATTCTTGAGTCTGGTCTACCTGACTAAAACCCAGACACACTGTGGGAAAATTGAAAATTTTGTTGTAAGATCCTACCAAAGAGCTGCTCTCTTTTACTGGAAGAAGAAGCCAAATAACTTTCTGCAGCACCATCTTCCTTGTCTTCATTTCCATCATCCTCATCATCACTTGAAAATTGAGGTTTTTCATATGAGAGCTTTTTCTTATAAAGTCTTTCGAGACAGTGCAGAAGATTTGGGAGTTCTGTTGAAACAACATGTGCTTTTATGTCAGGCTTGCCTATCTGTCTCTGGACAAATGTCACTTCAAATGGAGAATGTACCAGTGTATTTTCAATATCATTAGAGCCAAATGAGAAAAGCTCTTTATCTTTGAGGCTATAAATGTTTATTGAATTACTTGCCAGGATAATTTTTGAAGGAATATGGCTCTCTTGCTGTGTTTTTGCTGCAAGAATGGAAAACTCTTGACCACTTATGACAGATTGTTTTTTATGTTGTATTTTCCAGTACCCAAACCAGGATTCCATATCATTCACTATGTTTTCCCCAACCTCCAGATCTGAATGTAGCATGTCCATCTTTTTAACTGCATCTCTTAATTGTTCACCTTGAGAATGCAAGGTTATTGCAGAAGACATCAGGGTTGTTTGTGAGTCATAGGCTATTTCAAGTAGCTCATTTTTTGTGTGGTTTCCTTTGCTAATTTCCCTAAAAGATAATATTTCATAGTTAAAATTTTTATACTGAGAAATAAGACTACCATTTAAATAAACTGTTTTAAGATCTGCTGTAAGACTGCCACCTTCATTGTTTTTACTAAGATATATTATGGACAATATGTTTGAAAATATTAGCAACATTTGCATGAAAAGATGTTTTGGTGTCCTACAAGATTCCATTTTAGTTCCCCTCTTTTTCAACCTTTAGATGAATCATCCAATAGAAAGAATTTGAAAGCAGTGACTCAATATGCAGATAATATGCAAATGGGACCGAATCTATGAATTGTGCATATCATCAAACACACTAAACTCTGCCAACAAATTAAGAGATACTCTTACTAAATCTGAAAAATTGTCTAGCAATTAAATTTGTGCTGCTAACCCTATGCAGTCAAAGTTTTTTCTAATGTACATCCTTATGCCTGCACAATTGGCATATACTTAATAACATCTAGTGCCTTTTAAAATCAGAAATAAACCCACATCCACTTATAATTTATCTATAACCATTTATTCAGTCTGATCAAATGACTTACAAGCTCAAGCTTTTTAAGGAAAACTTTTAGTCCTAATAAAATCAAGAACTTTACAGCCTTAAAACTAAGAAAAAAATTCCATTCCACCATTGCATAATAGGCAGTTTTTGTTTTCTAACAAGATAAATAGATATCCTCCAACATATTATTCTTTGATTATTCTTGCTTGTAAAAAGAGAAAGATTTTCCAAATGAAATGTGATAAGACTATGGAAAATGGGGTGAAAAATTTTCATCGGGATACAAATAAGGAAAATCGAAGAAAATTATTATTCTTGTTAAAAATCCTTTCGTTTAACAGGGCCTTAACGAAAACTGCAAGTTTAAATTCAGAGCACGTAATTGTTTACCTCCGGGGATTATCCAGTGAGCCGAGCAGCGAAGACCTCCTAAAATGCTCTATAATGTTGATTACATCATAAACATTTTGCAATGATGAAAACCAATGATGGTATAAACCCTTTTCCGTTACAACAACTGCATTAAAAAGCAGATAAGTGGCTCTCTTTTTCACCTCGGTCACATTTCGTAGATCAATGGAAAGTGGCTGCATGGCTAGCTTCCCGGCATCACATTTAAATCGAATAAACTTTTGATGTAGTTTAACTTTGCCATAAAGCCATTTACCATCATTTTGATTGTAATACGAACATTTCCATTCAAATATAGGTGGCATTTTCAGGCAAAAGTTTTTTCAGGCAAGATAAACACAAATGTTGTATACCTAGCCTCGATACGAAAAAGAGGCATGTGGTCTGCGTTCTTGTAAACCCGGGGGCTTATCAAATTCTTAGGTTACAGATGGGGAGAGTTAAAAGAGCGGGCTCTTTAGAGAGGGGCTTATTAAACAATTCAATGTAGAGATTTTAGCAGCATTTGCGTATTTTATGCTGTTTTGAACATGAAAAACAACTCTGCTTAATCATGAAAAATAACTACAGATTCTAAAGTCATATAAGGTGTTAGTCATCCTTAAAAAGTATTGGCCAGTGAAAATGTTTTCATCTTCATCAGTATCATGAGGTCTTTCAAAAGTTGAAATTTTAATAAACTTTTCACTGCCTCATTCTAGCCTTGATGAAAACAATTTGTATGATAAACAAATACTTCAATGAAAAGTTGAAGTAACCACTGGAATAAAATTGTATGATAAACAATAACAGATAAATTCCTCGCAAAGAAATACAGGCTGTGGGTAAGGAAATGTTTGCACAAATTGATAAGCAGGAGAGGTACATCAAATATTTTCACTATGAAATAACAGTTTCAGGAAATATTCTTTGAAAATATATGCTTTTTACACAAAAGCATCACATCTGAACACTGAAAAATCTCAGTCACCATTTCAATGAAAGCACTTTTTCTGTACATGTTTTTTAATTCATTTACACCCATGCAGCAACTCCCACTAACTTAAGTTTTCATGCGTGTCAATTTGTTTGTTGTGATTCAATATATAGCTACATTACACTTCAGGATATGTTAGGTTAGCAAGTCAAAGAGTATGATGAATTGGCACTAAATTCCTAAACGAAAATAGCTGCTCTATTTTGTTTAGACAACTAATTTATGAGTTCAATCCCTTACCTTAGATTTCAATAAATATGAATCAGGATATTTAGTGTTGGCGAAGGATCAACTTCTTACTGTGAGAAGATCCAAGGAGTGCTTTGGATGATCACAAGTTAACTTACAGCAGCACACAGAGATTTATACATAGTTTGGCACTAACCAATTGTACCACTGCTACGGCAACCATAAAGCCAATCAATCAAATGTGCACCAGCACCTTTCCCACAAACACCCTTACCTTCAGCGCGATAATGCCACCAGAATAGCTCAGAGGATCTAAGTAAGACAGATAAGTATGATTCATTTGTTAGGTTTAGTTTAAGTCATTTGATGGCAAAGCATAAGAAGTGCACACATTTTTTAGTAAGATTCACAAATCATACACTGGCCGTCACTATTGGGCCTAGAACTACAAGAGATGTATCGTTGATATAATCAAAATAGAACGGCATATTTTTTGTGTGAAAGCCAAACCTTTGCTGTTCAAAGGAAAACGCTGCTCAATTTTGCTTGGATTATGAAAAATCCCGTTCAAGCATCTTCTGAAAAGTTCAAAAAGGGTTCTAGCAAGCGAACAAATTTGTGTTTTCCAATCCCTTAACACTTGTTACTTATTATTATTACTACCCTTAATACTTTGTTAGGCAGTAAAAAAGTAGGCATGGAATGTTCCACACTCTTTAACAACATATTCATATATGTAGGTTCATCTTTCTCACTCAGAAGACTGGATACGTGTTTGCAACCAATCGTTAAGAACAAGTGCGCTACTTTCAGTTTGAAGTTACAGGATTCAGCCTCTATTGTTTTAGTATCTAATGGAACATTTCTTTCGAATATTGAATTTATGTAGATAAAACTACGAATATTTATAACATCGAATGTTGAAATTACATCAAGAAATAGAATATTGAATGGAAACGGGAAGTAGTTTTTAAAATTCCAGCTGATCTCTAGTACTAACTTGTAAAGCTGCTTAATAATAAAAACTCACGAATCAAAGCTCGCTTCTAGTCTCCAAATGAGAAGTTATTGCTTTGATGGAAACATAAATTAATGGAAGCTACTATAATTTGCTATATCAGAGAAGGCCCGTTTTCAAAAATTTTAGTAATGTGACATTCCTACGTATTCATTTTTATTCAAGCCTTCGTGCTTATAGAAGAGGTCTATTATCTAAAGAAAGAAAACATACTTGGGCTTCAGGATACTGTAGTTAGTACCTTGAAAAGCGAAAATTTTTCTTCCCGCCTCACATCTCTCTTTTGGTAGTATAAGAAGACATCCTTGCCTCTTGTGTTTTTGCCATGATCAAATTTTTTGAACATGTTTTTCAGCGATTCCGTGCACATTCCATTGACTGACATGAAACATCGATTGAGATACGTTTCTTTCGCGTTTGTTCGAGACTGTCCCATTTCAAGGATATGCTGCTATCTCTGGCTACAACATGTCTTGTATTGATTGCAACTTGGATTTTGTAGTATCACCCAAGCTTATGTATACCTGCATGCTTTATCCCGAATCTCCAACTTCATGGATGATAAAAAAGTAAAACAGACCATGCACGTCTTCTTTTTATCACAATTTAGCTACTGCCCTTTAATTTGGATGTTTTGTGATCGACAGATGAACAACAGAATAAACAGAATTCATGAAAAGTTTTTGCGTTTTGCCTATGATGACTATGAACCAAGCTTTCAAACTCTTCTTGAAAAAGACAAATCTGCAATCGCTTCTTACAGAAATATATAAAATTTTACATAATCTCAACCCAAGTTTCATGAAAGAAATCTTTACTGAAAAAAAATGCTATAATCTTAGAAACATATCCTGAACATCGCTATCAAAACCAAAATCAAATTGTTATGGTATAGAACCTTTATGGGATCCAAGCTCTGGCAAGAGCTTACAAGTGACATTAAAACATCTTCTAGCCTCGCAATATCTAAGAAAAAGATTAAAACTTGGAAAGATATAAAATGCAACTGCAGACTATGCAAACCTTACGTTGCGCAGATTGGATTCTTGAAATAGTCATCGAATAATTGTATATTTTTATCTAACGAGTCATCCTTTTAATTTTGTACATTTCCTATATCATTTTATCCATTCATTGTAATTTAAGATTTGTAAATGTAGTATAAATAGTAGGCTTTAATTAGCTGTTATATTAGCTAAAAAAAGTTTTGCTTCGCCTACTGTAAATAATTTTAAAATAAATAATAATAATAATAATAATAATAATAATAATAATGGAAACTTTTCATTTTCAATTCCAGTTAAAACTACAATTACAAATCTCACTATTACAAGGTAATTTGTAACTGGCTAGCCTGTTTTTACAAAATAAGACTATTACAATCGTAGTAAAGAGAAAAGAAAAAAAACGTTAAAAGGGGAGTAGCTCTGGGTTAGTCCATGTTTTGTTCCTACAGCAAAAAATGTAATAGGTGGTACGAATGGATATCGTAGAAATTAGAAATAATAATAATAATGGAAACTTTTCATTTTCAATTCCAGTTAAAACTACAATTACAAATCTCACTATTACAAGGTAATTTGTAACTGGCTAGCCTGTTTTTACAAAATAAGACTATTAAAATCGTAGTAAAGAGAAAAGAAAAAAAAAACGTTAAAAGGGGAGTAGCTCTGGGTTAGTCCATGTTTTGTTCCTACAGCAAAAAATGTAATAGGTGGTACGAATGGATATCGTAGAAAGCTTAGAAATGAGATATCGTTTGTGTTGAAATGAGATAATAATAATAATAATAATAAAAATAATAATGGAAACTTTTCATTTTGAATTCAAGTTAAAACTACAATTACAAATCTCACTATTACAAGGTAATTTGTAACTGGCTAGCCTGTGTTTACAAAATAAAAACTATTACACCGTAGTAATGAGAAAAAAAAAATTGTTAAAAGGGGTGTAGCTCTGGATTAGTCCAAGTTTTGTTTCTACAGCAGAATATATAGTATGTGGTGCGAATGGAGATGCTTGTAAGTTTGGAGATAATAATAATTTTTTTTTTAAACATCTCATTTTCATTGAATACATTTTAAATTTACAATTATACGACTCGCTTTTACAGGCATCATATAATTGGCTTATCTGCATTACAACATTTAAAAGTCAATTAGTTCGGGGCTTAGCCATGGTTTGTTTCGACGACAGAAGATATAGTAGGTGCAGCGGATAGAAATATTCATGAGTTTCATCAAGATGGATTTAGTTTGATTTGAGTCAAAATTAAGTTGGTGTAGCATGTCAGAGAGAGAGGTAGATGAGGTTTCCAGAATGCCAAGGGCACTCATAGAAAGGTTAACAAAGGTAACACGTTTATAGGCAGGGCTCAGTTCCTTGATAAGGTCGCTATATTTCCTAGCTTTTCGAGTACTGTTTTCGTCGATGTTGCTTTCGAACCCAACAGTAAGCTCTAGCATGTAGAGGATTCGATCTTCAGTTACGAAGACAAGATCTGGTCGATAGGAGTCGCCTGTGAATAAAGAAGGTGATAGAAACGAAGGCAGGTCGGCGTAAAGTGAGCTGTTTCTAGGTGTTGAAAGGATTTTAGCCAAATATAGAAGTACAGAATCATGTCTCCAGGTATACCTACCATGTTCAAGATAATTCTTGCAGCTAGAGACTATGTGCTGTAATGATTCTGATTGGAGACAGAAAGAGCAGGCAGATGACTGAGTAATTGACCATTTGCAGAGGTTTTTTCTAGTGGCAAGAGTGTTGTTTAGGTATTTGATGGTAAAGTTGTAAATGTTTTTTGGTAACTTTTGCTGGACACTAGACCAAAGTTGATTAGTTCCCTTAGAAGCAAATTTTAAGATGCACGAGATAATAAATCCTTGAGATGTAAGAACGTTTTCAATGCGGTTTTCGTGTTCACAAATAATAATAATAATAATAATAATGGAAACATTTCATTTTCAATTTAACTTAAACTACAATTACAAATATCACTATTACAAGGTAATTTGCAATTGGCTAATAATAATAATAATAATAATAATAATAATAATACCGGATAGCAGTATAGAAGGATTGGCCTTATCACTGCGCTGTATATCTTCTCTGCTACATGTGGAGTAGTAGTTGGTCGAATTCGTTGCAGCAGTTTCAAGCGACTTGAAGCTTTCTTGCAGATTTTATTAATCTTTTGTTGCATTGTCAGATGATGGTCAAGGGTGATACCAAGATATTCATAACTGCTACTATGATTAATTACAGTCCCTCCTATTTCAATATGGAACTGTGGCTGTTTGGATAATTTTAGATACTTAGATGTTTAGATACTTGGAAATTATCCTGCCTACGCAGTCTAGTGGAAGGTTCCAAGACCCCGAGGGCCTTAGAAGTACGACCATGCTATCCTAATTATAGCGTGGCTATCACATTTTCTTTTCCCAAAGTATCTGTTTCTTACCTTTCCGCACTCATTTCCTTAGGGCAATAAATAGCCAGCCAAAATTATTTCTGTCCGAAACTAAATATAGTAAATCAAAGTTGCATCACAAAATTAGTGGTTGTATGGTTAAAATAAGGTTAAATTTTGTGTTTCATAAAGTTATCATATCAAATTTGTCAAATATTTTAAATGGGTAATTGTAGACTCACGTGGGTATTCCATGCCAACGGCCTTTTTTATTGACGTCAATATTAAGAATCAATGTTTCAGAATATGTCAGATTACTACCTAGTGTCGTTCGTCTCCACTCGTTCGTTCACTTACACTTACCAAAGAGTCTCGCTTCTTATCATCTTTTTGCGATATGATTCCTGTAGAACCCAACTACACGTTTTTTTATTCATAAGAAACTGGTTTATTAGAAACTAAACTTGGATGGCTAACAATTTAAGATACTGTAGTACTAGGCTAAAATAAAATCAAGAAACTGTAAAAATTTTTAAAGAAGAGTCCAAAAGTTTTCATTTTCTTGATTTCCTTTGGAAAAGATAGCACACTTCATACTTTCTTTGGGGGGTGTGGCTGCATATGTCCTGCACCCTTTCGTCATCCTTCACCCTACGCCCAGGATATTTAAATAGTGCAACTTGTGTTAAATGTTAACGTCTGCAACTGACGGGGAGAGCACTCCCGCCACTTCTAAGAAGGAAGTGTTTGCCTAAATTTGATGGGAAAATGTTGGGGGAGAGAAACCGTTTGGCAAATAGAATTCGTGACGTGGTTCTGTGGTTTTGAAACTACCTTTACAAACGTCAGTCATATTGGCGTTCAGAACTAGTAAAATTAGCATCCCCCGTTGGAAAAGGGTGTTTCCTGACAGGAGAAAGACCGTAGCAAAGATTTTCTAATTCTGCCTCCCCCTCTCCGACCAAGCCTAGTGGTACATGCATATCTTTTATAAGAAGCTAAGCTCGGGATTAGTGCTCAGTTTTTAGTTTTTGTTGATTTTTAGGTTAAAAATTTAATACAATGAAGAGTGTTGAAGGGCTACATTTTAGAACTCGTGACAAACGATAACACGAATCAGTTATCAGAATTTTTTTTTTCTATCATTTACATGAGAAAGGTGCTTAGTCGTTGAAAAGAATTTTTTCCACCCTTTCTTTTGAAGAATGATTTAAAGAAGGTAAATGTTTTTCATAAGGAATCTAGTTGTAGAAGGCAGGAAAATTAAAGAGCCGTTAGCACTCTAGTCAAATCCCTAAGGAACTTTACAATTTTTGAATATTTTTATCATCGACACGACAATCAATAATTAGGAAGCCTGTTCCATTTATTTGGAGTTAAATTTCACATAAAGTTTGGGCTACGAAGGTGGCTATCGAGTGTTTCATTGTGTAATTTCAAGTGTTTCATTTTCCTTTCTGATTGAATTTCCACTTTTTCATATATCCAACATCTTTCTTCCGGTTTACACCTTGTTTCTAGCTACAGTTAAGAATTTAACGACACTAATACAGAATTCGAATGTACTATATGCAATTTTTATATGAAGTTTATATTTAGTATTGCAACAAAAGGAGGTCCAAAATAAGGAACTTCAAGGACTAGGTTATGGCTGCCTATTTGTAGCAATATTCAATAAATGTTTTATTAATTGTAAAATTCTCCATTTAAAGGAAGATTTAATGTAAAACATATAATCAATACAACACAGTGCCGTGGGAACGAAATTCATATTTAGGGGGCTGCCCATTGTTTTCCATCTCATTCAGTGCACTGTTATAAAGGAGATATACTACAGTTTGACAATTATTGGGGGACCTCCAGCCCCCCCAGCCCCCCTCGGTTTCGACGTGCCTGCAACAAAATGCATCCGTGAAATATGTATTCAATTCAGTCAAATTTATTCAGTCCAATAAAATGTATTCAGTTCAATAAAATGTATTCAGTTCCATAAAATGTATTCAAACCAAAAAATTTATTCAGTACAGAAAATATGTTCAATGTAAAATAAACTTTCAATCCAAAACGAAATGTTCAACATTTCTGGGGCGAACGCGTTCGTCATAAAACTTAGGGCCTAGACAATATCAAAGATGGACGAAGTTGAGGACGGTCAGGAAGAAATGCATTTGAAAAGTTTCTTTTTTAATATTCTTGAATAGAAGCTGGAAGATTGAACTTTTATGAAAAGTGCGCGTACTTTGGTTTTGTTTGATTTATTGTGCTTGTCTCTATATGGTCGGGTTAATTATTCGAGATATCGAATTTTTTGTTATTTGAAAGCCCTATTTGTTGTACAATTGACTTGCGATTCTAGGAACAATGCCTCAGATCGAGACTCATTCAGGGAGTTGAGGACGTCAACGGCCTGTGTCCTTGTACACTAGCCCTTCAGCCCCCGGAATGTTTTCTTTCTGGGAAGCTTATTATGAAAATACTCTCTCAAGTGCGGTTGACATGGTTTTTAACAAAAGTGTTGTGAAGGTCAAACGCTATAATCGTCAAATCTCATTCTAAGCTTTTTGATCGCTTCTTGGTCGAAAAGTTCTGTTTTATTTCGGGCAAGAAGGGTTCTGTGGTTTTCATTCAAACCCAAGGCCGTGACCCCGCAAAGAACGAAGAAGACCCAAGAGGACCGGGCATTGTCGTCAACACATGAGCCGCATAGGAAGTTGGCAGCACAGCGCGACAAAGGAAGTAGCTGAGCTGACAGAGCAATATACATTTATCAATGTAAAAAGGACATTCAGGTCCTACAAGAACTAGAGTAGGTCACTTTTCACGGGAGGAGCAAACGTGAATGTAGAACAATTCAATCATGGGTATAAACAGAACTACATTTTCAATAGATATATTTATAAAGTCACTCATCATTCTCTCCTGGTTATGCATAATTCACTCATACACGGGTAAACAAAGTGAATCACAAAAAGATTTTACTTGGAAACCAGAAGCCTGGCGATCTTGCCACAAAGGAAAATCATGCGAAGATCCAGGGATTCGTCGACGATCGCTTGCATGTGTAAACAGAAAGGGAGAGAAAACATCGCATAAAAATTGTGATCGTAAAACTCGACCAAGGAGAAGGGAATCGTGTGTTGCCGTAGCGTGCAAAAATCATACAAGTTTCAAATTGGAGATTTTCCCCTGGAAATCTTGCAATTCAGAACCTTTGCTAAATTATGACTTACCCAACCTTATGAGTAAAAACTCGACCATTGAAATTCGAAACACGATTAATCAGTCGGTGCAGGATTACATCTACATGGGACATGAAAGTAACTGGAAAAGAAGTTTAATCGGATCTTGTGGCTCCCTCGAAAATGCTGTAATCTACGTCAAAAGAAGAAATGTGTCTTGTTATGCACACTGGCCTCGAAAAAATATCAGAATCAAGACGAAAGTGGAAGACTGCTTGAATCACTCGAGAAATAAGCCAAAAACAATCCAGCTGTGTTCTTTTGGGTGTAAGCAAAAATGCTCTGTTAGTCTATGGTCCAAATGGGAAGTTTCTCCGCTTCTACCTCCGGATCAGAAATTTCGAAGACGTCAGATTACGTATTATCCATACTTTGATGATAATTTGGAGGTCTGCGCCGGATTGATCGAATTTGGTAGTGGTGAACAGCCTGCAATTTGGGAGGGGAAACGCATACAACCCGAAGTTTCTGCTTGGAGTAAATGCGAAAAAAATAATACCGGTACAGATAATAGCAATTCCCCTTTCCCGGTTGTTGGCATTCGTACACGAAAAGTATCATGTGTTGCCTCAAATGGAATGCGTGTGAGGTGTAATAAAACCGAATCGGGCCAAATTCCCGCATACCAAGCATGTATTCTCTCAAGGGATTGTAGGGTAACACAGTGGAGTAGATGGTCTAGCTGCTACGCCGTTTTTTCAAAAAAGATCGGAATAGAAAGAGAGGGGAGTAATGCTGTATTTTATCAAAGGCATAGGATACGATATATCGTCGTAACACAACTGCCCAAAGGAAAGGTATGTCCACGCTTAAAGGAACAAAAACGTTGCGAGCTGTCCGGTTCGTCGGTGCTCGAAACCAAGTATCGAAATGCTTCATTTGCTAACAATAGTTATCAGTGGTTTGCAGGTGAATTTGGATCGTGTCAGCCCGATAAGAAGGATTGCAGGAGTGGCATTAAAACCAGAAGTGTGTTTTGCATAAGGCAGGGCGATGCCAAATTTAATCCTGTGGGTTCGCAATTTTGTGCTCATTTGAATAAGCCAGAGGGCAAAGTTTTCTGTAGGAATCCATGTAAAGAGACATGCGCACTGGGAGAATGGAATTCGTGGAGTGGTTGCATGGCTGATTGTCGGGGTGACGTAACGGGTACAGTGAGGGGAACTCATTATAGGGTTCGCAGAGTTATCCAATATTCTGGAGATCCAAGATCTTGTGAAGATTATGCTGAAAGCCGTCCTTGTACTCTAACAAACTGTGTATCCTGGGTGGCAGGCACACAGACAATTTGCCTTTTAGATGATATCCACCGTGCTTGTGGCAATGGAAAGACACATCGTGCTGTTTATTGTATGAATGCAAAAGGGCAACAAGTAGATGAAAGTTTGTGTCAAGAAGACAGGCCATCTAGGAGTTTACCGTGCCATGTCCCCTGCTCTGATGACTGCGTTGTTGGAATATGGAGTGAATGGGGCCCGTGCGAAGGCGAGTGCGGGAAAAACGGGACACAGGGAGAAAGCTATCGAATAAGAAAACGTAGTGTTCTGGCCTATCCTGGTTGGAGTGGAAGACCGTGTCCTGATGGTAAAGATATGATAGAGCAGCAATCCTGTCTTGGAGAAAACTGTGGCACTTATCGCTGGACGGTTGACGAATGGAGTGTATGCACTGTAAAACAGGCTAGGTTCGGAACACGAATTATCAAAGACAGCAAAAAACGGTTGTGCATGATTGGAAAACGTTCAAGAAATGTAACATGCATCGATAACGCAGGCGGAAAAGTAAGGGACTACTTGTGTAGCATCTTTTTAAAACCACAAGAAGAAAAGGAGTGCCGCCTTTGCATCGAAGATTGCGTTTTAAGTCCATGGTCAGAATGGAGTTCTTGTCCAACTGAATGTGGACAGGGACAAAACAAAGTCCAACCGTTTCGCAAAAGGGAGCGATTCATAATAAGAGAAGGCCAAGGAGGAGGAAAACTTTGCCCAAATGTTGAAGCACTAACACAGGTTGAAAAATGCAGATCTTGCGACGATTATCACTGGTATCTCGATGGATGGTCACACTGTATTACTGCTCCAGCTGATGACTGTATTGGTATGAGAACGAGGCGTGTTTTTTGCAAAAAGAGGTCAAGCTCAAAGGTAGAGCCAGATGGGTTTTGCTTGTTAAAGGGACGAAAACCACGAGAAATTTCGACCTGTGCAAAGAATTGTGGCAACCGTTGCATTCTACCTGAATGGTCAAGATGGGGAGGTTGTAACAAAGAGTGTGGAACTGGTAGGTTTTTAAAAAAATTCTTTGTAAATTCTCTATAGAAACCTTGCCAAAATTCTTAATGACGTAAGTTTTAGGACAAAACAAAGTTAAACACTCCTTACTCCTTAAAACTCATTAAAAAACAAAGTTCTTGGTTAAGTTCCACTAATTCAATAGAAAATGTCAATTGTTCCCAGTGACAGGACTTCCTTTAACAAAGTACTGAAAGTCTTTCGGCCTCTCCTTCAAATCATCGCTTTTCATTTTAGCAATGCTTCTGACGTTATTGCTTATCGGGGTTATATAAGTTTATAATGAATTTTGAATAAGAAGCTGCTACCACTCCTTATTCAAAATTCAAATTACCCAAATCCTTGCTTCAAATCCAAGTTTTATACACAGTAATCTATTACCTTAATAACTTCTATAACCTTAATAAAGAGCTTTAACACATCATATTTTAGTAGTCAATTTTTGGTGGATAAAAGGAATAACTCTGATCATTTGTAGGATCTAACAGGTTTTTGATAGTACTAAACGAAGTTTTCATATTATCCAAGCCACCCTAAAAAAATAATGGTTTTTTTTCAAGTAATCTGGATACCAGAATTAAATCATGTCCAATTTTTTTACCAAGACTTCTTTATCTCCAAAGTAAACTTTCCGTGAGTGAACACACTTAATTATTAGCTAACTAATTACCTTACAACTTCTGGAAACAATGAAAAACTCGGTAAATAAAACTAAAGAAGACGGTATTTCTTGGTCATCACCTATTGTAACCATCAGTCATTATTATCAATCATCATAATCATAATCAATCTTAAAAATCAGTCATCATAATCATCATCTTAGTCATCAAGACCACCACAATATAGTATCCATGCTTTCCTAAAGTCCCACGATAATTTATCGCCAAAATTACTCACCAAATCCATAAGTAATCTTTGTGTTATTTCTTTTTGTTACTTTTATAGCTTTAACAAAGAGCAACAGCCAAACAAGCTGTTTTAAGTCTCCCATTATTTTGTGAATGAGGTTCATTTTAGTGACTTTGTTTAAGTTGAGCAAATAAGGTTCAGCCTATTTAAACATTACTTTCTTCAATGGTGTACTCCATTAGTATTGTCGCCCAATCATTTTTAGTTGACTAGCATTTTTGTTATCTGGCCAATTAAAACAAGTCGTCACGACACTCAAAGCTTCAATCCTTTTAGCAGACCGAACCTCGCGCTTGAACTCGTGCAAGATTTTTGGGATCTCATCGAAGACAACCTGTTTGTCTAAAGGTCACTTTATTTAGCATCAGAGTCAGTCCGTTTAGTAAAGTTCAGCATGAGAAAAATAGTGCAACGATTTCACGATAATGGCAGGGGGTAGGCCACTGTTCTGGCAACAGATGCAATAGAGAAGGTGCAATATTTATCCACAGAGGAAGATATGCCATTTTAATTTGTGAGACAAAAACACGCCTGAAATAGCTATAAACATCCAAAACTTTACTTTCCTTCTAGTGGCTGAAATGTGGAAAAAACAACAGAAAGGTCAACCAGTCACAGGCATAAACCTCTCTATCTGATTACACTCGTAAACCGCTACCTGATCACACTATTTCCTGCCCAATCCTCTCTACTTATTTTTCATTCATTCCATTATTCATCTTGTTAATGCGTGATTTACCATCACTTTCTTGGTTACCTTGGGACGCAAAGCCCCCCTACCACAAATCTATTTTGGGCGTGCTGTGGGCGAGTTTATGTTTTGTTGACTTAATCCTAATTCTCAAACGAGATTAAATATTGAATGATATTAGGTGATCATGATATGGCCGATGTTTTGACTAAAATTAAACACTTCTCAATCTGCTGTGGAATCCTGTGAACACGTCACCATTCATTCATTATTTTAAGATAATTGCAGGGGCGGACTGGCTGGTCGGGCTATTCGGGCGATCGCCCGAAGGGCCGGTCGCTTTAAGGGCCGGTTGATAAAAGTGCAAAAAAACAAATTAGCTTAAAAATTGAATGCGAGACAAAAAAGTATACCCACGCGTTAATCTGTTTGCCTTGAATATTCAGAGACTTTGTGGAAAAGAATAAATATACACGCGAGTTCTCCAAAACCATCAAAATTATGAATTCATTTTTGTCACCGCAGCCCAAACACACTTCTTCAGGGAACATGTTATTGACATTTTGTTATATTTTCTCTTGACGGTATTTCCTTTTTGGCGACATATTATACTGTAACATCCCTGTTTCAATGCGATACATAAAGCCCCGGTAAAACGACTGGACATTAGCACTGGTCACACACTGGACATCGCTCACTTGTTCAGAGTATGGACATGGTTATGGCAAAACCACAATATTGGTTATGGCAAAACGACTGAACATTGTCCAGTGAACTTTTCCCTGTTGAAGAATGCGGGTGGTAAAACTGGCAACAGGGCATCTCTTTACCTTTGAAAATACACTTTTCATAGCCCTAACCGTGTTATCGTTTTGAATATGGGAAATAAATTGACGCCAAATCCAAACCATTAATTGATTGCGCGTGCGCGAACTGGACAATGTTCAGTAGAGTGGCAAAACGACTGAACAATTTCTGTACAACATTAGTGAGCAAAATAAATTTAATCCTGTCCAGTGAACATTTTTGGCTGCCTTCAAAATCGACCGAACAACATTCAACATCGCTGAACAAGACTGGACAAGGTGACAAAACGACGCAACATTTACGCTGGACATTTGTCCAGTCCATGTTCAGTGAAAATGTCCAGTCGTTTTGCTGGGGCTTAAGATTTTAACCTGCCCCGATGTCTTTTTACTTAGCTTTTGCTTGAAGCTGGTCATGTTTTTCCCTAAGCACAAGCTATTGCTAAATGTAATAAATTTAAAAGTACAAAAATTAGAGTTCACTGAGCGATTTGCTCTGTGATGTGAAGCAATGAAGAGGACATACGTAGAACAAGGGGAGAGCAAGAAGACTCCAACCAAAGGTGGTGCACAGAAATTTCGTGAGGAAAAGCTGCGAGACTTAAAAAAGGATTCAGCTACGATACAAAGCTTTTTTTCCTTACAGACTAACGTTTACTTGCATTTTCCGAGGAGCTTTTTGTTTGCTATTATTGTGGGCCGGTTTGATAAAAATTTGCCCGGGCCAAAAAAATTAGCCAGTCCGCCCCTGGATAATTGTACTTCTGAACAACTTTCTGGGGGCACTCAACTTCAACCATCGTTAGCATGACATAGTGTTAGGTGGAATCCTGTGCTATATTTCAATTTGAAATACTCGCGTGAGAGCTATAGATATTACCAAAATAACAAATTTAAATTCTTTCATAAAAGTATTTTTGCAATATAGTGTTGTATTTATTCGGTTTAATGAATAAACATCCGCTCGCTTTTTTATACTACAAACCCCCTCAAACCTTTATTGACACCCCTCCCTTTTTTGATTACATGCTTTTTTTATAAGAAGAAGATTTTAAAAAAAGGTAGGATCAATTTTACGAAAGTTAAGAAACAACCCTACCCAAATTGAGAAAAGCAAAGAAACTCTTATAATTTGCAGTTTTAATTTTCCGTGTTGACACTCGAAACAGTCTTGACATTGAACATCGCTTGACATGTTTGTATACGTATTGCAACACTACACTCGACATGCAGTATGCATTTATTCACAGTAAATTGCACACTCAAGAAGTTTCCATTTAAAGATTTGTTTTGACTTGACATTGATGAAGTTCAATGAGCTTAACTGTTTACAGATCTCAACAGAGTTAGTCATTCTAGGAAAACAAAATACCTTGATCACTTTGTTAGGGCTCTATTTCAGAATTGAAAGTCGATTACAGTTGACATTAGTTTATCTCTGAATGTGAGTGAACTATTAACTTCACCTTGGAAGCACGCTCAATAAATTCATTACCTAAGAAATTTAAGAAACATGTAAGAAACTTTTCATAGCCAAAAGGCCAGAAAATTTAAGAAATTGCCTACCAGCACCGGACCTTAGTTTCTTAAGAAAAGACGTGTAATCTTGAAATAGGATTGAATGTATCCAATTGTGAAACTGTAAACATAAACACGCATTTTCACGAATTGGAGAAAATATTTGAAGGGTGCAACACATCTACACACCGTGGATGTTCGTCACTAAGAATTTTTTTCAAGAGAGGCAGCAACAAGTAGTCAGATATACTAGCCCTTGGAAACATGTGCAAAATTTCTCGCTTGTGAAAAAATAACCTTGAAGAATATTTGTCAGCCTTTAATTTCTCAACTTCATGGCCCAGGACGGTGTTTTTGCGATTATTTGTATTTTAAGTTTGGTGTAGCGGGATGTTTAGTTGATCTTTCTTCTGTTCTTGTGAGTCTTGTCTTAGTGCAATATTTCAAAACTAAGAAGTTGTTTGCCTTTTTACTTCTTGCTTTCTTGTAAACCTTATATACCCCTGCTGTCTCTAATAAATGAAGAGCACGGTGTTCTTAATGATAATTTTAATATATTCATTAGACCTAATCTTCTAACAAATATGTTTGTACTTCAAACATATCTCGAATTCTACTTCTCATTTATTGCTTTATTTGATGAGATTTGCCTTTTGAAAGTGCGGTCTCATAGAAAATGTTTCATTGTTAGTGTTAATCTGCGTTCGGTTTTAAGTACATTATATTTTTCTTCTCTTAATAACGTTCCTTTCCGGAGAAACAATATTTATCCAAAGCAGGTCTATCATTGCTCAAACACCAAAAAACAAGGTTAAAAAACAATTGTGCTTTAATACTGCTACAACGTCTCCCCGATGCCTGTTCTAAAACTCATACGATTTACTCTTCCAATATGATGTGCCTAAAATACAGTATGCGTCAGGAGACATTTTATAGCCAGCAAAACTTCCACTGTTTGACCATTGGTATGTCTGGGGCTAAAAAGATCCGGTCTATTTTCGATGGCCTCGTAATTTAACAAGACTTGATTCACATGACCCGATTCTCTGTGTTTTACATGTTCTTGCTTTTCATGGATATGCTTAACAAATATTCGTTAAATATGGTCACTTGAGACATCTGCCCTTTTCATTGCTAATTGTGAGTTTTAAAATCGTGAAGCATCTTCTAGGACCAACCAGCGTAGGTTTGGTGCAATGGTATCAAATTAACAAGGGGGTTAGGGGGCTCTTGCATAAAATGTTGCTAAAAACAATAACAAAGAAGATATTGCCATATTTATGGTTTTAACAAGAGGGCTGAGTCCGAAACACAAAAAGGTTGGAGAAATACTTCAAGTAGGGAGATCATTATCCCTTCTGAACAGCAGTTGTTGTCCAGTCCAGATGCTGAACCTTGAATTTAAAAGCTGGTGGAGTACACAGCTGAAAATATGTGAATAATTATCTAGAATGTACCCGGCTGAAAAAGAGGAAGGTCAATCCCTTTTGCACAGCTCTTGTCGTAATTATTTGCATTTGGTACTTGTGTTGCCGTTATACACTTTGCTAAATATTCAGGTATATGATTTTTATAGGGTATTCAAGGCGAACACGGAATGTGTTTGGAAACAGCATTAGTTGCGACCCAAACATGACGTTAAGCGAGGAGAGAAGATGTAATACACATCCATGTGGACAATACTCCCTGCGAAGTGGTGCCTGGAGTCGATGTTATTCCAAAGATATAAAAAGAGGCTGTGGGGCTGGCCAGCAATGGAGAAACATCACTTGTTTCAAAATAAGTGGTCCTCAAGTGCCGTTACAATATTGTATCGAAGAACTCTATGGTGGGAAAATGACTCTGAATTTCGAGGTTTGTATAAAACACTTTTTTACTCAATTTTATTACGACCTTTGTATGTACTATGGATTCCATTTTAAGAACCATAGTACCTCTTTGATTCATTTCATTTTAAGAACCTCTTAGATTTGTTTCTTTTCTTTTAGATTGTGTTTTTGCCATCTTGTTTTTATGATTCCTTATATGCTGTGTAGGGATTATTTAGGGGGTGAGCAATTGGAATTCTAAACTCTTCCGTTACAAAGTCGAGACTGCCGTGTAACGATGAAATGTCAGTATTAGTTCGCTATTCAAAGGTTCTACTGCGCTATTGAGCAAGTTCGTGTCCTCCATTTCTGATCTGTCTTCTTTGTATCCAGGAGCACGAACCACGTTTTGTACATGATGGGATTTCGCGTTTTGAATTGGGTACGATGATTAAAAACCAAATCAAAGTCAACAGAAAATGGATTCTTTGTAGCTGCGGGGTGTAAATTTTTGAGCACTTCAAAATGCATTTGGTTTTTATTTCATTTTGCTAGCAACTATTTAATTTTTATTTCTTTTCTTGGCCTTCAAAAAACTCTTGCAATTCTCCTTTTATTCGATTGTAGATTAACTCACTCCCAAAATCTATGCATGCCTTGGCTAGTTGTTTACTGTAAAATCCATACAACTGCCAATTTTTCTTCATCATAGCAGTAAGGTGCTTAAATTTGATACACTCGTTCATCATCAAATTATCTTAACTAGATTTATTTTAATACATTTAGGACTGTCATTTAATTTAGAGCTCGCCCTCTGAGTTAAAATCCAAGTGACTTAATCTTGTAAACTGTGTTTTTGCGATAGTTGATTGATAACATTTCCTAAATAAATTGATTTTGTATTTTCTGCCAAGATAGGATTCACTTCTTTATTGGATAATATTAAGCTGCTTAAGAGCTTGTTTAGTGCTTATATTTCTGACAACGATGTGATTTGTTGCTACAAATTGGAGACAAAATTTCTGTATGACAGAATTAAAGTAGTCAGCTATTTTATCGTCCTTTTAACTATACTAAAGAAAATAGCCAGCGACCCATTTTCAGATTAGATACCCCATAAGCAACACCCTTTAAAATATCATGAAAAATGTCAAGGGCCCTGGAAATTAACGGAAACAGGTATTAGTTCAATTTTGTTAAGTATAAGAACAAGCTGCTAAATAGGGGGTTTGCTGTATCCTTTTTTGTATAAAAGCCTTTATCTAAATACTAACCTTAATTGATGGAATAAATTCAAGTTAACCATCGATTTAATCTCGAAAAATCGGTTTATTTGACTAGGACCATTCATTATAAACTTGAGTCAATATACGAATCCACCCAACCCAAGGCATCTGCTCCTAGTACTGCCTGCAATCCCACCGGTAATCCACCCTTCAGATTACGAACATATAGAGCATATAGAGCAAGCATTTGTGTTTTTACATTGCAATATGTTATCGGTTGATAACTGTGCGCAGTTAAGTTTGAATGATAACCAAAAAGACAAATTTATGGGTTACTTGGGTGGATTAAGCGCCCGCATTGAACAACGCAGGAGGCAGATAGATGGAAGATAAAACCCAGTGCATTGGTTATCAGCCTTCGTTTCATGTATTATGAAGGTCAGGCAGATCAAGCATTACTGCGGTGAATCAAAGGGAATCCAGCTAAATGGTGGATGCTTTAGACAGAACCTCTTGGAGAGAAGGAGCAGGGTCTCCGAAGAAGGGGGCTAGCCCCTCCCCCACATTTTTGCAAAACAACAGAGCTTTTCTCCAATTTTTTTGTTATGGGTGTTAAATTTACCCTTGAATGCTCCCCCCCCACTTTCCAACCTGCATCGTCTGAGCCCACGGGGAGTGTTGTTGTGGGCAACTCTTATTTGACGTTCTGGTACACATGGCAATCCGCCAGATACTTGGGCAAGACAACGAACTAATGAGCTTTTGGAAGGTTCACGTCAAAGAAGTTCAAATCAAATGATTACAGAAAAACCTTCAAGTGATGGCAACCGACCCACCGGACTTGTTCCCTATACAGCGCTAGGGTCTTAATTTAATTGCCTTAAACGAAATGGACAACAAATATTGGTATTGTAATGTTTTAAAATGTAAAATAAGGAAATCTGTGTCGTGTGTGACACTAGCATTGATCCCTCACGATATTTAACTGACATAAATCTTTTAACTCAGCTTAATATGTCTACAACTGGTAATGCCCATAACAAGCTTATACTAACAAGCATATTACTCTAGCATGCCTTTAGCAAATTTTCCTTGAACTGTGTTTCGTGCTTATGAAACGGGTAGTCACAACCCCGAGGCAGCAATCTCGGTAATGTGGATGTTGGCCAATTGTCATTTTGTTAAGGGCAAGGTGCCGTTGTATTTTACAAATATGGCATATTAATGAATTGGATAATATTCAATAAGCTATAAATTTCTTTTTAAGGACTTCTTGGTTTAGTTTCTTCTCATCTGTTTTTTCATCTGTGTTCTACTCATTTCTTTGCTGTGTTTTCAGCATCCTTTTTTATAATTTTAATTCTCAGTGTTGGGATTCAGCTCTAGGGATGTTATCTGGCGGGGGGGGGGGGAATAATTAGTTACATTTAAACCCATTAGTTACATTTTCAAGACTGCCGTGTTGAGTTAAAATTTAAGTATTCATTCTTTTTTCAAAGATCTAACTGTTTTATTTTGCAAGCTCAAAGAAATGCTTTGACGGTCTGATATGAACAACATATGCTATGGAAAATGTTTTCGATTTCAAAAAAATTGTATTTCAAACAAGGTTGTTTATAAAAGTATCTGATCTATGTGAATATACCCAAAACCTCAGTGCAGTCGCCCAGGAAAGGCTGGACGTTCAGTCAGGGCTTTGCCTTCATATGTTTCGCATTAACTACAACAGTACTGGACTCTTTGTAGGGCATAATCACATAGAGTCGTGTAAAACATTTACTACAATAGCACAGACAATCAGATAAAAGATCAGGAAACATTGCATTGTGTCCATCATCATGATGAGGTATTACATCCAGTGAAATGGATGGAATATCATGTGTTAAAGCACCATCTTGACCCACATATCCTCAACCATAGCTGTCATACTACCAATTCATTTCAAACATATTCTACCAACTTGTCCGCCACTGCTCCAGAACTACCCCTCCGTCTATCAGACTATCAAACCAATGGATACCAGAAAAATATACCCCACTACATACATTACAATATCGTTCTGTATCTTACCAAATCATGAAATAAGAAATGCGAACACAGTGTACAAAATATACCATATGCCTTATACCGTATACTGTGAACCAACACACGCCCGACGATGCAATATCATACCTGCAATGCGTACCGTTCCAATCAGTACCTTAACACACAAACCATACAACACCAACCACTTCACAATGCACCTCATCATAGCACACAAACCCACATACGCTGTAACACACAATTCTTGCATTGCATAGGTTTTAGCTTAACGTATTTCTTTGAATTGTGTATTTTGACATTCATGTATAAAGAACGGGTGATTGGCTTATATATAAAAAGAATTAATTTTAATGGATTCATTTCTAGAGGGAATGCGATGTCACTTGCCCTTTTGATTGCAAGCTGTCATCCTGGTCAGCGTACACACCCTGTTCCAGGAAATGTGGATCTGGGGTCAAGACGAGGTTCAGGACTATAGTGCAAGAGGCCACTCATGGTGGGCAAATGTGTGCAGTTGCCAACGGCGAAAAGCAGATTTCAGAGACTGTTCCTTGCCTGGAGAGGCAGTGTTTTAACTTTGTGTGGAAGGCTGATCCGTGGGAAACATGCCAAATAACAAACCAAACCAGAAGTCGTGTAACACAGTGCGGCACAGGTATTATCTCTCCATTGATATCAAAATTCCCTCCGATACATAAAATCTAGTTTATCGAAAGTATGTCGTTACATCATGGAGTTGCAATCTATTTTAAGCTTCAAGATCTTGTTTTATGAGCAAAACTTTATTCAGATTGAGATTGGAGCTCTGGCCTTTTTTGACTCATCAGAATATGAAGAATATGAAGATGTACCAGGCTCAACAAGGCCTGCTTGTAGTTGAATAAGGGGTATAGCCTAGCCATTTATAACGAAGTACTTTTGAAGTCATATTCTCTTTAACATTTCTATCCCTGTGATATGTGACACAGCATTGAAAACTCTCTCGAAACAGCATTGGTAAATGCAGCTGACACACCCCCAATATTAGCCAATTAAAGATTTGAAACTCCTGTTTTCCATAAACACTCATTTTGTCTGAACCCAACACCATTCTTTTAACTAAAGTCTTAATGCTGGAAGAAGCTTTTAACTATCTTTTCCATCTACAGGCTTTCACACCCGGAAAGTGTACTGTACTGATAGCCGCTTCTCTGGCCGTCGTGCTCGTGTGAACGACTCTTTCTGTGATGCAAAAGAAAAGCCAGCAACCAAAGACTCGTGCCTCATGTACTGCCCGGGGGATTGCGTCGTTGGGCAATGGACATCTTGGTCGCGTTGT